ATATATGACCTTCCTGCCAGGGACTCTCCTTTATATTTCTATGACCTACCCCAGGTTTGAACTGGCTGCCGTGTATGATCGCTGTGTTTGTGTCTAACGTCGTCCTCTGGTACTTGTTCCTGATTCTCTGCGGGCTGCAGGTGAGTCGGGGATTTTACATTGATGTTTTTATCATGTAGATACACTTTAATGATACTTTGATATGATGTAGAGTGATTCTGTGGTTAAACACGCCGTAAAACAAGAAGGGTAAAGGTGAAATAGTATAGGATGCAAGTAGGAAACGCCTTACTGTTACAGTTACCGCATAATGGACATTCTTATCACATAGATCTACTTAACCCTATCCGTACACCGGGGTTGTATTCATCACATTCTAAAATACTTCTAGCACTAAGATCTCTTTGAAACTTTCAGTATTTGTCCAAAAATGGTCTGTACAAATGCTATTTATTTATTATTATTACTAAAACAAGAAGGGAAAGGGTGAAATGGTATAGAATACAAGTAGGAAACGCCTTACTGTTACAGTTACCATAAAATCTACATTCTTATCGCGTAGATCTGCTTTAAGGATTCTTTGATGGACATGTCATTCTAAGGTTAATTTATAGAGCCTCCCTTAAATCATTATATTTCTTTGGGTAATAGGTGGTAAGTTCCCTATAATGGTCAGAATAAGTTTGACAACTAAAAAGACAACCAATGAGGTTTGTCAGATTTTACACACAAGACAAACCCTGCTGAATAAAATCAAATGTAGAAAAATACAATACTATGTCCATTTAAAACGACACGAGACCATTGTGAAAGAGGTGCTTGAAGGAAAGATGTCAGGCAGGAGAGCCAGAGGAAGGCAAAGAATAACATGGATGGGCAACATAAGAACATGGACTGGCCTGGATATGGCAGAATGTGCAACTGCAGCTCTCGACTTTGAAGGATGAAGGGCCAATACAGATAGAATGCTTTCTGACTGCGGGGTCTTTCTTACTCAAAACGGCCCAAAAAAACCCAACAACCCCAGAAAAAACCCGTCAGATAGAGCTTTGTAATTCTGAGGTAGCGATTAGACCTCTGAGTCAGAGATGACACCTCCAGGTGTTCAGGTATCCAGGTAGTTTAAACCTAGAAGGAAATCCTGGTATTGCAGTCACCATAGGATGGACGTGTCTGCTATGCTAAGGAAGATTAAGGCTAAATACCAGGTGAAGGTCAATCTTCCTCTACACTTGTGAGCAATGGACCCTTAGGGCAGAGTTTGAGAGAAAGATACAAACTACAGAAATGAGGTGCTTTCGAAGACGTTTGGGCATCTCCGACCGAGATCGTGTTACAAATGAGGAAGTGAGGAACATAATCAGACTTCTCGTTGGGCCCTACAAAGATCTTCTCACCAATGTGAGGAAACGTAAATTGATATGGTATGGACACTTAACAAGATCAACAGAACTTGCAAAGATGATAAGACAGGGCACTGTAAAAGGAGGGAGAAGGAAATGCTGACAGAAAAAGACATGGGAAGACAACATTTTGAAACAGACAGGTTTAATTTTTTAAAAGCCCTTCTAAAGGCTGAAAATAGAGAAGGATGGAGAAAAGCGGTTGCCCGATCATCGCTGGTGCCCCAACTGTCATCTAGGGACTAAGGGATAATTAAAGTAAGGTAAGAGGTAAATTTGAGTTCACCGTTTCTGCAAATAAGTTAAAATGGTGTTTAGAGCATGACGACCCTGCCTCAGAATCGAACCCATGTCTTCTGCAAAGCTTCGTCTGAATTCAAACCAATAAGATGGGAGTGATTTTATGTTCAGAAGCCAATGGGCGGAAAGAGGCCGCCACCTGGTAGGTCGTACTACTTCTGATCTTCCCGCCTCTTGTTTCTGTCCTTCTATCCTCATGTTTTTTCGTACACTGATACACCAAATGGCTATTATTGAGTCTATGTGCTTCTTTTAAAGCTAGGAAAGAACAAAAACAAACAAACACCCCCCCCCCAAAACAAAAAAATTCAAAACAAAAAAAATAAGGGGGACAAAACAGCTTGGAAACCGACACAGCGTTGCGTTAACTGCTGTGAGTTGGTCATATTTGCTGTTAGTTGCTGTAAGTTACTATGGGTTGCTATTAGCTACTGTTAGATATTGTTAGTTTCTCATAGCTGCTGTAAGTTACTGTGAGTTGCCATTAGTCACTGTGAGTTGCTATTAGTTACCGTTAGTTGCTGTTGGCTGCTCATAGCTGCTGTAAGCTACTGTGAGTTGCTATTAGTTGCTGTTAGTAACAAATAGTTTCTGTACCCCTCCCGTGGGAAATTGAGGGAGTCAGGGGAATAGACTGCGCAGGCTTCAGGGAGAGTAATTCATTAAACGGTTGTCCGTGCCCTATGACGTACAGTTAAAGGCCGGGG